GACTGAATAACCAAACGTTCTGGTCCAATCTCCTGCTGTTCCCTGCTTGTGCACAGCTTCCATCTGTATTTTTCTAAGCAGATATTAAGCAGTACTTGACCTCAAAAAGCTGCCACAGAAAAGCAATAACTATTTTGCCACCTCAGGCAGCAGTGACAGATGTATTAGTCAAAGACAGAAGATGGATCATACCAGGCGAAGTAAGAAAATGGAAAGAGAAGAAAAATGTTGGTGCAATCCTTTGGTATCAATAGCAAACACGCACATGTGCTTCATGTCATAATTTGCAAGGAATTCAACATTTACAGGATTTATTATTGCAGAATTGCTCCTTTTGACAGCTTATTCAGGAAATGCACTGATTTTCTTTTGGAGAACTGGAATACTGTGATGGAATCCCCATTGCTAAAAAAACAGTATTGCATATTTCAGCTGTGGGCTTAAAAGTATGCATCATATTCTGTAATTTGAAAAACTCAGCCAATAAGGATCATGAATAAGCAACAAACAATAGATAAGCCAAAAAGGGGGGGAGCGGGGCAGCACAGGAAGAAGAAATCATACACACAGAATTTTATTAGACACTGGACTTCCTATCAACTTTTTAGTAATTTCTTTTTCCCTTTACCTTCACTATTAAATAAATTGTACAGTAATTGCACATTGTTTATTGCTATTTGTACAAATTCTCTTGTATTTGATGTCACCAAGCATCTGGTAACACAAATTTCACAAGGAATCAATAAAGACAGATGTCTTACTCTATACCTTCTTTTGGACTCCATCTCAAAATCTGTCACAGCAGCTAGTAGCATTTGTACTTCGCTCTTGTACTTTGTCTTTTGTTTTTCAAACCTTTTTTGTGTGCATGTGTGGCACACAAAATGGAGATGTCCTGGAGTCATCATGTATGCCACCAGAGCCAATATTGAATAGCATGGAGTGGATTTACCTGTGAATTAATAGGTTTTTATTCTCTCTGCACACCAAGGAAAAGAAAAATTACTGTTACAAAAAGAAGCTGGTGAGAACCTGGAAGTAAAAACTGCGTCCAAAGCATACAGAAGTGAATACTTTGCATCAGGACTCACATCTGGAAAACCATTTTCTGCATATGAGAAAAACCATCCTCTTCCTGCTAGTAGTTTTCAATTTACTTAGGGAAAGCTTAACTGTTACAGATTACTGTGGTGAATAAAGTGAAGGGGAAGGATTTTGAAAAGCCTTCCTGAGAATTATGCTCAGTGTGTTTGAAAGGTTGTCTCCTGCTCTTGGTGTTTTACCATTGGCCTTGACCTTAAGATCATATATATTATCCCCCTAAAGACCATGTAGTGGGTGTTGGTCCTCTGCTGCCGGATAATACATAGGTAATATAATACGACGAAGGGCCTATGAAGTTCATTTGATTAAAATGCACATACCTAAAAGCAGAAGGCACTCTACAATCCACAAGTAAAAATAAAGAGTATTTATCAATAGCTTATAAACCACTTCAGTTGTCAGGTTTCTCATGTCATCCTGTAGCATATGCAAATTCTCCAAACAGCAAGCGTGGGAAGTGGTAATTAATGATGGGTCATAATTATCTTTCTTTATAGCACTGTTACAGGGCTGCAACATTCCCTCTTTTGGCACAAAGAATGTTTTTTGTTATTTTATTCTTGCAGCTTGTCCCTGATGACAGTTAGGTAGTTAGTATGATTATTTTATTAATCATGATTGCAACATATAATCATTGATTATCCATTTGAGTTAGTGAATATTACATTTGTATTAGAACGAAGCTTATTTAGTGGTGAATTATATCATGTTCATACAAAATATCTGAGCTGTGGAAAACGTGCACTTAATTCAAGCTCGCTGAGGAGTGAAACAAAGTGCATGACAAATCCAGAAACATAAGGTTAAGTAACTAGCTTCTGTGACTGTTTTATGTACTATTATTAATGTAGTGACTTAAGATTGAGCTTAGTTCTGTCTTTTGTTGAGGATTTTGGTTCGTGTGGCACTGTAGAACAGAGTAAATGCTATCAATTTTCCCTAACATGTTTCAGGCTGAAAAACAGAATTCATATGTAGTAAAAGTTTCCTTTTGCTCACTGCTGAGGGCACGTTGGGAAAAGGCAAGTGTCATGTTGGCAGAGAAATGCTGCTTGTATGGACATGAGATTATATTACTGTGCCCCAGTACAGAGTCATTTCTGCATTTCTCCACAAAAGCAACATAGTGTTATGACGTCCCATCCGTTCTCTACCATGATATCCCCATTCTCCAGTACTCATCCACATTTGCCCTAATGATTCAGCAATATAAAAATCCCCAGATTTTCCATATGGTATCATAAGGAAAAGAAACTATTGCTTTATAGCTCTGATTACAATCTAACAAAATGAAGGTTTTGCTAGGTTTAAACTGCTGAACAAAGCTACGGATCAAGCTGCTGCTAAGTATACTCGCTATGTTTAGAGATACGCTGACTGACTTTTAAGTGGACCTTATGGTGTTACACGGCATTATTGGTTCCTGTCTAAGTAGAAACTTGTAATCGATTGACAGTCCAGCTTCTCAGTTCCCTTCTCTGGAGCACAGAGTTTTCAGAAGGCACAGAGGAGCTGGACTTGACTTACAAGGAATTCAGAAAATTTCAGCAGCACCCAACCATTTGATGAGCTGTCTGGGGTACATCTACTTGGTATTTTGCAGACAATGGGGACCTCACTCTGACTACTAAGTTGAACAGAGTTTATGTGAGCACTACAGCACTGAGCTCCAAACTAGTGTATGGTATCTCTCCTCGGCATACATTTCCTCAAGAAACAAAACCAATTCAGTCATGTTGTAACTCAAGCATGGGTCAACAAGCTCACACCTGCTCACAATTCCCAGATAAAACTTAAAAATATAAAAGGGCAGGGGATGAAATTAAGCAGAGAGAATTGCAAAGCAGTATGTTCAACTAAAAAAGTGCCTTCAATGGAAGAACTGGGAAAGATAATGACTTTAAAAAGGAAGGACTGGAGACTGTGGATCACAAACTGAGTAACAACACACCATTGCAAAAATAGGCACACGTATGCAAGAATATGGCTTGTAAGAAGCAATTTTTCCTTTCTCTCAGCAGTCTGAACAGTTTGGGTAGTAAACTGGAGTCATAGATGTTTAGATGAACTGGAAACAGTCTATAGGAGAGTAAGAATGTGCCTTAAATTATCTAGAAAGCATGAAAGGCTAAGTGAATTGGGACTGTTTAGCCTGAAAAGAAAGAATGAAGGAGGCACACAATAATAGCCATAATTTGTAAAATGCTGTTTCCAGCAAAACAGAGTCCGGTTACACAATTCGAAGAACTTAAAAATAAAGATAGAGAAGCCCTAGGCTGCCTGCAGGTCACAGAGCCTTCATTCTTCGAGCTTTTTAATAACTGGTTAGCCAAATATTTGTCAGGAGTGATACAAAGACAACTGATCCTGCCTAGGCAGTAGAGGATGGACTACGTGTCACCTCAAGATCACCCTGAGCTCTGTGATTTTATGGAGGGTAGACAGAACAAGTCTGCAAAATACTTCTCAGGCTAAATGTAGCCTCTCAAACAGTTTAACTGGAAAAGGATCGCTTGTTCACTCACTCAAACGTGCTTTGAAGATCCCTACAACTACCTGTAATCTTCATTCAACCTATTAGGAAAAAAGCAGAACTAACTCTGGAAAATACTTAGAATGGGGAATTTCTTTAAACAGTATGATTCTGAAAGACCACAAAAGAACAGTCAACATACTACAGCTTCAAAGAAAGGCAAACTTCATGAGAAAGTTACTGCAACAAATTAGTCATTCACTCTCAAGTAAACATAGAATTAAAAATAAAACCAGAAAGAGATTTCAAGCTTACTGCTTCACCAGTTTTTCCAAGGTTTCCTTGGTGTCCTTGTTCTCCCTGTTAAATGTAGAAAAAATGATGTCGTTCATTAGAAAAGTAATTTCTTTCGTATGTGTATATTAAAGTCCTCTATTTTCAAAGGAACCTCTTTATTTTTTAAATTACATCCATCAATTAAAACTTTAAAAGCTAAAATTAAGCAACCAGCAAAAATTTAATTTTGTCGGTGGCTAATTTTGATTTTGTAAAAAGATATCCCAAAGTATTTAGGTCTTGCCTGCAAAAATGAAAGCTATGTATCAAGTGCTTACTAAATACATTAAGTCAGCAAATACTATAAATGAATGATTTATTTTCTGTTTAAATCTTCCTTTCAGCAAATTACCTTTATTATTTCACAACTGCTTCAAAAGTAAAGTTACCTGTCCACACTATTGATTAATTTTGTTATAAAATATTAGGAAAATTGGCATTTGAATAACATTTTAACAAATTTCTCCTCCTCCCCCAAAAGCTTGGAACTGGCATTAGGTATTAGATTAATTAATTCTGTTCTCTTTAATAACATTGCAAGTCACATTATGTAACTGTGGAACAGTTTGCAACATATTTTACAAGTGGAAGCTGCGTGTATATGCACTATTAATTATCTGGCTACGACTATAATCTCAGTGCTCTGATGAAAAGCAATTTGGGTACTGTTTACTCATATTGCAACTCAGTACTAAGAAATTTTGCTGCCACAAGCTCCTCTTTCAAACTGCAGCATTTCATCTCATCCCCCTTCACACTCCTGAAATCCTGGCAGTGCAGGAACTGCCCTGGGTCCCTTGCTGCCCCCTGGCCCAGCCAGCTTCAAATCCCCAGACAGCTAGATCTCATTCTAGCAGGTGCTGTCTTTGCTCACACATCCCTGTCTCCTAGAGTTGCATAATTTCCTTCTTTTCCAAAATGGGATCTTTTAAGAAAGCAGAATCACCAGTATGATATACATCTATACTATATGGAAGCATGTGTAGTCATAACCTTTCACTGGCATGCCACTGTATATAGCAGTGTATAACTGTACACAGTTGATACTCCAAACACATTTTATTTCGTACATAAAACTATCCCTTACCTTTAAACCTTCTGGTCCAGGATCACCTACATAACCTTTCTGTCCTGGCTTTCCCTAAAATAATAATTATAATAAAATATTGTAAATATTTTATTTTTAAAAGATAATTTCATCCCAATTATTTATCAAAATGTATGCACTCAAAAATGTACAATTTAGTAATATTCAACATGAACATTTGAAGCAAGTGTATTTATAAATCTACATCTGCAAATACACTGTTGATTAATGCAGCAAATACTAGCACAGTAAGCAGAATCTGTCTTGATTCTTACAGTAGTTAACACTGAGGAAAAACAGTCACAATCCAAGAACTAAACACATGTCAATTTCACTTTAAAAAACATATTAAGGAGATAAAGAAAAGGCAAGGTCATGTTCTCTCCTGGTTAATTCCAGCAGAATAGGGACTCACACTAACACAATTTGATGTTTAGACTTCAGGGACTGGTGGTGTAACTGTTCTTCCTCAATCAGACAAAATCAGCTTAAATATCCTATCCTCTTTGTTCATCGAATTGATTATGTTAACCCTCATCTGTCTCCACTAGCATTTTGCTGCTGATCGATCTTGTTGCTGTGATACTCTGTTAACAACATATTGTTACCTGGGACAAATACAGCAACATCAATCAGAGCAGGAGGACACGAAGTGACGAGGTCTTTGAAGCATTTTATAACGTGTATCCCTCCCTCTGTTGTCACTCTTACACACCCACAAAGGCATACAAACTAGAATGCTTTTCTCCTGAATTTTCAATTAGAAGTTTATAACTTAATTATGTCTCAACTTGTAGGTCCTTTTCCCTCCAGGTATACCTTACTTCCTCTACAACGTAAAACACTGCCTAACCATTTGTTTATCAACAGCATAGCCCTGTCTAGACAAACTTTCCCCATCTGCTCTGAGGCAAAGACCCTAGTCCAAAAGTAAAGGTCCAATGGACTCGATCTGGCTCTTGGCAAGTTGCTAATGAGACTGCTGAAGCCTGACAACTGCAGAACGAAAATTAATACCACATTTTAATGATTCAGTATCAAAAAGACTCATATTTCTGCTAAAAGGAAATTATCAGCAGTTGTTCCAGCAGACTGAATAATTGCAATCACAGGACTCTAATGAGAGCTTTCCTTTCCACATCAGCTGTCCTGAGACAAGAGCAACTAAAGCAACAGATAGCAAACAGGTTTCTTCAAAGAAAGATGGGATTTTTCCTTTAGGCTCTTCTGCTCTGGCTGCTCTGTGCCAGTCTTTCAGAGCACAATGCGTGTGTTAGGCATATGAGAAATCCTCTATATGGATTAAAATTATACTGTCTTAGCAGGTTCCATGACTTTTCATATTAATCCCTTTTTTATCTCTCTTGTTCTCTGCTGCCTGAATGATTTAATTTTGCCCTACAAGTTGCAACAAGTATCACTGTTTTAGGAACAGATTTTTGGTTTTACCAATGGATTAAAGTATGGCATAGCCAGTAATTCTGGGAGAAACGAAGTGAAGTTCTGAGACCCATGATAAAGCAAGTCATGTCTTTCCACAAGGCTTAGCAAAGACAAGTGAGGGGCTTCTGCAGGTTACTCCATGTTGTTTAACTACTTTGCTGCCAAGAACCTTAAGGTATCTCTAGAGAGCAAGACTGTAACATTAAAATGTTTTAAATGAAATTCATTGAAAGAAAACTTGTGGCCACTATCAACTACCTTGATAATTTCAGTCCTATCAGAACTGAATTGGAGTTACAACTTGTAAAGGTTTCTTGGCTGTAGTACCCCAGTTAAGTATCAGCTACAAAGGACACACAACAGATGCAAGTTGACTAGAAAATGGAACACGTGGATTTAACTTGTAAACCGATTTGAAACGTACAGGTTTGGCTTTAAACAGAAATGCAGTACAACTGTAAATTACACATGGAGGAAAAGCCACTGACAGAAGGTTAAACTAGGGATGGCTGTTTCTGCTTTCAAACCCCTGAGAAAGTTACTCTTCCAGGGCAGGGTAATCACAAAGGAAATGGCTGTTTCCTAAAATATTAGCTGAAAGTTCTGCCCTTCCCTCTCAGGAAACAGCACCACCTGTGCTTCCTTTCACCTCATAATGGGTTGATACAAGTGTGTATATTTTAATATAAATCTCTCTCCCTATCACTCTATTCCCATCCCTCCAACAAGCTCCTCACATGCCTTCAGCCCACAGAAAGACATATGTTGCCTTCAGAAAATACTGCACTGGGGGAGTGGGGCAGTTTTGAGAGTACTTTCCTCCATCTTCAAGAGGAATTGCTCACCTTATGACTATATAAATACCAGCTTTTGTTTTACACATGTATCTCAGGCATCAACTCACAACAATTCCTTTCTACATTCTGGTTTAAAACAATCTCCCCCGTTTTAAAGGCATTTTCTGCTCCAGCAATGAAAATACAAAAAAAAAAATTAAAATGCACCAACGCTTACAATGACTGAGCTAAGCTACACTGACAGTTACAGTGTTAATATTTGGATAGCCTTTGAGAAAGAGTTAATTGGGAGGAAACTGAATAAACACAGTCACTTCTTTAATGTGGCATCTACTGTATTTTCACAAGACAAATAAACAAATATTAAGAAGATCAGCATTTTTTGATTTAGAAGGATTAATTTAAGAGAATGTAAGTATTTGACTTTGGAATAGAATCGGTGGGAAGGTTTGGAAAGGAATGAATGAAAAATCTCATAGTATGATCAGATTCAGCTGAAAAACCTCTTCCTAAATTCAAACAGGCTGAGCTCCATGGAACCTGAGATATATCCTGAGTAAGTGGGGAAGCATCCTCAGTTTTGGCTCCAGTTGTTTTAGACACATGGGAATTCTTTTCCAAGCTGGGACCTGAGAACCAGAGTGCAGGTTCATATTCACCTTCTGTTCCAGTAGAGGATGATCTATTTTGCTGGCAGCATTGGTCAGATGGATCCCAGGGGTTTTTGGTCTTCTGTGTTTTTTAAAGCAAACATTAGAAACAAGGTGGGGGGGTAGGGGGGTTGTAGAAAAATGAGGTGAAAATTTATGGTTGCCTGCTGGGCACATGCCTAAACCTGAACTAGGGTCTGAACCCTTTGACCTGAAAACTACACAGCAGAACAGATGAGGAATTCCAGAAGCACTAGAAATCTGCTCCATTACTGTCCAAGAGAAAACTAGAACTGTTTCACAAGAATAATCAAAGGTTTTCAATATATCACCTACAAGGATACTTTAGACAAACCCTAAGAAAGTCAGGATAACATTGGCTGAGGACTAATCTATTAACCATGGCTATAAATTAGGTCTGTAGGACAGGAAGCAAGGTTGTAGAGAGAAAGGCACAGGCAAGACTTTCAGATAGGACAGCTAGACATTAGAAAAACCATCTGTAAAACAGGCAAAGAACTGAAGCAGATTGCCAAGGAGAATGAAGAATCCCCACCCCTGGAGTCTGCAAAAAACAAGTTAAAGACGCATCTGTCAGGTAAAGGCATACCTGACAGCTGATGGTGCCTTGGGGCCATGCACAGCCAGACCACTTCTTCAGGTTCCTCTCAGAGACCTCCCCTGCCCCCATGGCTATTTAATTAGTACAGTGACAACACAGTTTTGATAGCATTTACTTTCAGATGTACCATTTACTTTTTTTAACTCCTTTCACAGCAAACAGAAACAGAGCCTATGTAAATAAAATTAATGTGAAACTGCAAGCAAGCAAGCATAATTTAAAAAGACAGATGTGTTCAGCAGCTTACTCAGTCCTGCTAAAACTACACCAGATTTAACAATTTCATGATTGGGACTCACTCTCTCCAATGTAATCACACAGCGGGAGTGAAGGAGCAAGGACAAGCAGAGACGGGAGCAGATTTCAGAGCAGCACCGTGAAGAAGTTGGCCTGGAGCTGTGAAACAGCTGGAGCCAACAGAGGCCATAGAATCCAGGGCCCCGGGATGAGGGGGAAAAACAGGCAGGGCTCCCCATGAAGCAAAATTCCCATTTCTCCTACCTCTCATTTCAGGAGGAGATGTTAGCCAGCAAGCTACTAAAAAATGCCTAGAGACAGCAACCCTGAGGCCCACCTCAGATCCACACATTCTTCTCTCAACAGCTTGTTGTGAGAGCGAGAAACCAGGCAGCCATAAGACATGCCAACAGGGTGCACATGTTCCATTAAGAAAAATCAAACGCAGAATAAATTATTTTGGTCAAACTGACCCAAAATAGATTAAAAATATTTCAGTTTTGCTAGGTCACACAGAAAGTTTTCCTTTTGGGTCACTGACACCAGCTGATGGTGGCCTGTGCGTGCCCAGCGATGCAGAGAATGTGCAAGTAGGTATCTCGTTGCCCATGAATCACCCACTGCAGCATCTTCTTTTCCAATTGCCACAGCACTACATAGGAGATGCTGTCCAGCCACGAAGCTCTGCCCAAGGAGGAGACTCAAAGTATGATGCAACCAAAATAAAAATTTCCATGAGGTTCTTGGCAGAAGCTCAGGCAGATTATACCGAATATTGAACTAAGTCACAAAGTATTTTGAAATTCTGTTCAATTTTTTGTATGTTTTACTTGGGGAAAAAAAAGTAGTTTGGGTTTTTTTGGGGTTTGTGGGTTTTTTTAACACCTAATCCATGTGGCAAATAAGCATTTTAATACTATTTCTAACAGAAAGCAAATATCCAGCTTTGACTAGCTAATCAACAGGAAAAGTGACATAGGAATACATCTACTCCAGAACCAAGGAAATAATGGCAAAGACTTTCCCAAGTTCATGCAAGAAATGGGAAGTCACACAAAATGAAGATTGAGCCAGCAATTACCACACATAAGCAAATCAAGTAAAGGTAGAAGATCACATTGCTTTCAATAAACTTAGCGACGCTGCTGTAGTCCCTAGTGCAGGCTAATAGTAATTTTTAGCTTAGAATTTTCCTAAAAATAAGCTTCAAGTCCACTAAAATACTCCTAGACACTAGTACACTTTGATAACTAACAACATTGGTTGTTAGTTTTAAATTTTTATCTTTTAAAACATGTCAGCACAAACAGCATCGTGACATTCCAGCTTTACTGTCTTCAGCAACTGCCTACCAGATCAGTTTGAAAATTATTTCTTAAAGCGCCAGTCCTTTGTATCTCTCCCTGTGAGCCAAGTCTCATGGTGCGTTCTTCCCCAATCTAAATATTTTGATATATCAGCTGGTTCAGTCCCTAGGAAGTACATGGTGGTTTCATCTGTGTCAGAGGAGCACCATCAGCAGTCTGTTACTGACTCTTTCCTTTTCAAAAATTTTATGCACCATGGTTGTGATTTCCTTTCAAATCTTTCGTATGGAAAACCATTTCTCCTTCCAGCTCCGCTTTGAGCACGTGCTGAGGAAAGAGACATATTTATTCAGGAGATGCCACTTTAACACAGTCACTTCTTACAGTAAATTTAGCTTTTAAAGCAGTTTTTCTGCTAAAAAAATAGTCTGCCCTAACAAAAATACTTACCCTTGGGCCGACTCCTCCAATAGGTCCAGCTGGTCCTACGTCTCCCTAAAAGAAATCGGGATTTCAATAATCTTGATGCCAACCCTAGCATTAAAAAGAAAATCTGCAGATAACTGTTTGTATTTATTATATCATCTTAAATTTGCTTCATATGAGTTTGTATGGGTCCAAGTCCAATAGAAACACTGTAAGAGAGACTAATCTGATTTCAGACAAATTCATTAGCCAGAAAGCCATGCCCTATGTAGCCACTAGATGCAGCCAGAAAGGCTGTGATACTGTTGGTATACCTACCATTATAACCATATTTTCACAATTTTGAGCAGGGAGAGACTCAGCAAAGATAGGTCAACCCTCTGTCTGCCCTTCAGTTACTCTCTTCTAGGAACATTTGACACTTCACAACTATAAAAGCACCAGGAACATTCCTGTTTTTCTCTTCCATGTTGCAATGGCACAGCCACTAAGTCAGCCAAGCAATTTTGCCAGGGTTTATCCTTGTCTTTTCTCAGGGATGGAGGGAGGTTGGGGGTCAGGCTTGTCAGGTGTGTAAAAGAAGAAATGAGATATTGTGCCTGTACTTTGCAGTGCACTGATGTAATTATGCATGATGGAGAACTGCAGTGTTAACTTCTGGGTTCACTCATTACACAGTTATATTAAAGCATCGATTTCTATCAATGCCATGCCAGAATGTCATGCTGTGATCATTTTATAATTCACTGATCCTCTTCAATTTTTTTGGAGGAAGTGGTACGCAGCCTTTTCAATTACAAGCCATAGGAAACAGAGAAATTAAGAAATCCTATCTGCAGCTTCCTGGCTTCTAACTAAACAGATCATTTTGCCACTGTTAGCTTTTACTCACTCAATATCTGTCATGGAAGCCCATAATTAAGCTACTTAGAAGTCCAGAGGTCTATCCCCAGAATCACTGATTGAATTCTTTCTAATGTTAATTACTTTTAGCCTAAGAAATGTTTTTATTTTTATGATGATGAATTAAGAATACTCAATAAACCTACAAAATTAAGAGCTGCCTTCCTCCCCCTTCAGTTAACAGGGGTCTAACTGTTTTTTGAAGTGTATCTAGGATACTGTAATTAAATTAATATATGGTTTGTATCTTCATACCACCCCTCTACCTACCTGTCTCCCCAGTTTAACTAAAAGAACCACATCCAACTCTGAACACATATTAGCTGAGGTTCCACTGAAATAACTAAAATAAACCACATGATGGGTGCACAGCCCCATAAGGTTGCTAAAACCTCTTTGCAACACTTGACAAAATGCAAAAGAAACTTGAAATTTTTCATGACACCACCATAAACACCTAACCTTTGTTGTCTAACCCTCTTACCTCTCACAACTTTTTCTTTTAAACATAACCTTTGGATTGGATAATTTTTCCATCTTACCTCAACTCCTTTCGGGCCTTGTGGCCCTGGAGGCCCTCGGTCTCCCAGAAGTCCCTAAACATCCAAACACAATGAGAACTTATATCAATGAACAATCAGGTTGGTCTAGTTTTTCTCCTCTTACAAACCTGAACAGAAACGCAAAACTGAGGATGCAGACCTCACTTCTTACCACTGTTCTTAGGATTTCCCTTAGGAAGTCAGGAGAAAACGCAGCAGAATTTTAATATCTTCTGAGAAACAGTATCTTACAAAGTTCTACTACATAGATTTTTCTGAAGCTTTTCTCTTTTTGAAAAGGAAATAAGAAAATATTGGAGCTCACAAAAGAACAATTCCTCCTTTTTGAAGACGTTTCGCACACCATTATATTAAGATTAAAGCAGAATCAATGTAACTAATAGATCTTTGATTTAGGTAGTCTTTAGCACAACATGTGATGACAACATTGCAATGGAAATGAACTACAAAGTGGATTTAAACTACTCGATTGTCCAAAACTACTTAGGATTTTCAGCCCTTACTGTTCTGTCAGGATTATAATCCAGCTTCCCAGAGATAAAGCATCTTATCCTCTGCCAACTCTGAGTTTTCATGACTACTCACACCAACATTTTCACAACTTTGTTAAAATGACTTCGCAGCTAGCAGTGTGTCAAAAATTTCGGTCATCCCAATTACAATGGTACTAATTGGGAAAAGCACTTGACCTGGCATAGGACACACACACAAAATAATCTGTGTAAACATATTATTAATGTTCTGGGAAAGCTAAACTTAACAATATCAGATAAAGCAACAAGAACTAAGAAACTGCCCTTTAGGAGAGATATGATTAGCCTCTGAAGAAAGCAATGGTGGGAAAGTTTCAAGTGTAAGCCTTATTAATTGCTTACTAATGAAGCTGAAGTCTAGACAGAAGGTACAGGCATTGGTCCAGTACCAGTTTACTTAGCACGCAAAGTAAAATGGAACAGAAAACCAAACAGGCCACCTCAAGGTACTGAGTTTCACCAAAAAGCCTATCAGTCTGGGAAAGACTGGGGTGCACTGCTGTTTGACATACCACCACAAAAATGACAGGAGGGCTTTTAGTAGCCCTATATAAGCAATACTCTTGTGTAGCTAGTCATGAAAAATTTTTATTGACAGAACTGTTGTTTTATTCTAACAGCAAAGCACATTAGGAGATATGGCTTTCAGTACAATGTAATTGCACAGTGGAAATGTTAGCAACACTGCTACTGTACACACCCTTCCACTGCACTTAATTGGATCTAGAGAAAAGTCCCAGACTGTAAAATGAATATTAACACTAAATGAAATTTCCATCTCCCCTTTGAGGTTTTAGGCAACAAACAGAAAATAAAGGTAGTCATTAGACATGTGCTGAAGTGTCTGGAAAAAACTGGGGGAGTCAGCAAATGGGGGTATACTGTATTTCACATATGTAACTCCAGAAGTGGTGAAGCTCCTAATAGCCACTTCTATTAAATGTGTTATCCAAACAAACATGAATGAGCAGAGGAAAAAAGTTCTCAACTACTTCCATGGTACAACACACACTGTTGGAAAAACTACAGTTGTAGTCAGCATATTCTGACCAACTTTTCCTCTCACTTTTCTCAGTTACAGAGCATAAATACTTGCAAGAATAACACAGGAAACAAACTAAATTATTTCAGAACTTCTTAAAAACATTCTTATTCCCTTTTCTTAAATGCGTGTTTTTTTTTTTTTAATAAGTGGTGGATCAAGATCAAACACCTTCCAAAATACTGTTCCCAAGCCGAGTAATATGCTGTAGACCAAATTACATAATGAATCCTTTGAACATTATTTTAGAGAGGTCAGATTTGCTGATTATTGCACTAATTTAGGGAAAATTGACAATCCAGAACTACTGGTATTTAGAGATGGCTGATCACACTCACAGAGCTCAAACTTTCCACCAAGAGGCTGAATCTCCCATGCCAACTGCTAAAAAATAAAGCTTACCCTGCATTCTTGGCTTTTAAAATGGGTATTGCTTCTGAGGAAGCATAAACAAAAACATGAGGAAAAGAGCAGCACAGTGAGAACAGCTTTCTAAAAATAAAAGCTGGAGGAAACTTTTTAAAACTGCAGTCAACACAAGACAGCTGGGAATCCTGAAAGCCAAACATTGCTAGTGTTATGCAGTCCTTCTCCCTTGATACTAGGAGCAGTGTAAGAATTTTTCCAGTTTGGTAATCTTCCTTCTCAAATGTAAGCCATCAATTCTCCCTGATTAGAGCAGGCTGTCTAAGCTTTTTGTCTCTAAGACCAAATGTGCTGGAGACCACTGAATCTTGTTCAGCTATGTAATTTCTTTATCAAAGGAATAGGAGTCCTAAACTTTGTAGGCTAACTTTTAGTACTTTTTTGCTGGAATCCATGAAAAGGCAATAGATCAATGTATGTGTTAAACAGCAACCCAATTATAACCAAAAAAATCTATTTTAACACTTTGGATATAACATGCAATAATATAACCTCACTTAGTGAAGAAACTGTGCAGCAGGGATTAGATCTCAGTTACATCACTCATGTATCAGCTTGGAGGATTGAATATGATCTGCAGTTCAAGAACTGTTGTATTTCTCTTCTATTTCCCCTAGACACGGTCATACATCAAAAGGGTTTTTTTAAGTGCCCTGGTAATTCAGAAACACAGGAGCAACTGCCACTGCAACTATCAGATAAAACTCGTTCATATAAGGCTGCTAACATTATACATACACACAAACAAGTTAGCGAAGCAATAAATCAGAACTAAAGCAAAAGTCCACACCTGTCTCTGGAAACGTATTTTAACTTCTCCCCAATTTGCCTCATCAGATAATGAATTCTCAGCCTTCCTAATAAATTCATGTCTGAGCTATTCTGGGACAAGGCTCTTGAAAGCTGAAAGATACGAGATGCAGAAAAGACTGGCTATGGCTTTGGCAACTGGATTATCTGAGATGTTCTCAAGAATGATTAACTTCGGCTTGGAGGGATTGTTACAATCTACCAGGTACAAATAAGACTGTATCTTCATACACTTTACTGTTCCCTGTCCTATGTTTTCTTGAGTAGTCTGTCACAGAATTTCACAACTCTGTTGATGGGAAATCTTGTAATTTCCATCTCTGTTTATTCATGGACAACTTGCATGTTTTGTCCTTGGACCAATGATATTGCTGGTCTTGCACAGTTGTTCTGCCTCGCCAATTTCTGCCCTCTGGTTTACTTACAAAGCTCAAAAAGGCCCTTCATTTTGGTAGGATAAAAAAACTGCTTCTCAGAATACAGTCATTCAAGTATCCTTTTCTGTAACTAGACCCACCTTCTGGAATACAAATGCCGAGAACTGTGTGTACTACTTAGATAAGTCTTCTCGTGCTTTGTGCAGTAGCATTAATGAGATGCTATGCCTCATGTATTCTAGAATTTCACTTAATTTCTAACTGCCTTATTGTGCTTTTATTTCAGAGAGATCTCGCAGTGTCCTTCCTTCTTGCCAAGTCTGAAGCTGTAAGTTTACAGTAGGAATTACTGTTTTAGTCCTCGCATGTATCGGTCTGAAGTAATAGAAATGGGATGAATCAGTACAAAGCGCAGTTTTTAAGATCATCTAAAGATGCTCAACTTTGTTTCATATACAAATTTCATTCCATCATCCTTGTGCCTATTTATCAGTAAAAATACAACGTAATAATAGTCCCAAGGCTGGTGAGTGAGGAACTTAATTGGTACTTGCCTTTCAACAACAAGTAGTTGATCTTTAGATATTATTCAATCATCTTCCTCTGGGTTAATTTCTGACTCATCTGCACTTTTTGTACTAGTTTCTACCTTTTCCATTTTAAACAAAAATTTCCTAAATGTGCTTTTATCCAAAGCTTCATTGAAAATTCTAAATATGTGAATTATTGCCTAAGCTTGGTCTAAAATATCACTCCACTAAAGAACAGAGGTTAAATTAATCTGGCACAGACATTTTTGGTAGATAAATTTTATCCATTATTATTATATATATTATTTTATCCATTATCTAATATGGCATGTGAATTTGACCCATTTTTCCGTACCTTTAGCTACTATTTCTTTCAAAATTTGTTAAGAATAAATCCGTATTACTCAGTTGAGACTATAGAGATCTGCATGCATTTTATTTAAATATAGGTGAAATATACGCATCTTTCTAGCTACAAGGCATTTTCTCTAAATTTCCTTGCACTTAACTTGCCATTACATGCTTCCATCTAACACAGTAATGACCCTCATAACTGCATGGATAGCATTAAACATTAGATTAACTTCCTCATATAAATACCTGAGGCAAAGTACCTGTATTTTGACAGTAAGATTAACTTCTCATAATGTCAGTGTCCAACTCCCAGAGCTTTTCCTCAGAGATTTAGACTGTTTATTGCTATTATGAATAAGTTTTCATATAGCCTTACCTTAGGACCTTCAGGGCCATTTAATCCAGGTACACCAATATCTCCTGGAAAACCCTAAAGGAATCATACAGACAAATGATTTACAGAGTAGGAATGTTTCCAATGTACTTGTTTTGATTCTGTTCGTTCATTTAACAAATCTGAATCACTGAAATAAGAAATAAATTTGTTCCACCATCCCCAAAACGTCAAAATCCATTAAGTTTCCTTGAGAGGTCTTGGATAAGTGACAAATTTTAGGCAGCTTTCATTAAACTCAATTTAGCAGATGTCAGTATGGGGTTCATTTCTCTTAGCATAAGATTTTTTTACCTACTAAGCAATGGTTGAAATGAAACCATTGGATTGGTTTTGATGCACAAAAAAACCCCCAAAAAACCAAAAACACAAAGCAGCCAGCACCACGTCCTCTACTCATGAATTAAACTATTTTTCAAAAAAAGCTGAGAAAGCAGCTGAAGCCCCTTAATCTTCGGCTGTACTTCAAGGACGAGATCACTGCAAGATTAAGAAAAGGGTAGAACGCCTTTTGCCTCCAAAGCAGCAGGTGCTAATGCATGTCTGGCTGGTGGTAACTGAAGATCACCAGCATGTAGCACTATTCAGAATAAGCCCTTGTGAAATAGTGTGTGGTATAGGTCCAGCCGTTGATAAAGAAAAAATGAATATGCCAAGGAAATGAATCAACTAAAATTATCACCCAAACCATCTGGCCAGTAGGCACCGAGTGGGACACCACGAGGATGCCTCTATGTCAGAGGAATCCAGTGCTACAACTAGATCTCTTTATAAGGAATGAGCAAAACAAAACAAAAATTATGCAGCTAACCCTTACACAACACAGTAGTGAGTTAAATTTCATAAACATCCAGTGAAGAAATGTAATCTTTATATTTGTACAATAAAGTAAAGCATTGGTAACTGACTCTTTAGTTAGCACAGGGCTCGCTCAGTCACCTGCCAAGATAGTATGTGATTGTTATTTTTATAAACTTTTACATTTCATTAAATCTTGCCTATCTGAAAATAGAAAAACCGTCACTGAAAAGTTCTTCCTCTGAGTAAAATAGTTATTACTACATTTGTGCACAACCATCACCTAACACTAGTAAAAGCAAGTTTCCTTCTTCCTTAACAGAAAATCATTGCAGATTAAAAGTTATAAATACCACTCTTTGCATGCATACTTTTCCAATAATGGAAATGAAAGCATCATACACATTCAGAACAACTTAAAGAACATCTCATAAAGAACTTCCAGCACGAAATTCTCTCTGGAACCCTTCCCTACTAATGCAGGCTAATACATCTCATCATTAAAGCTTCAAGAGTCACTTTTTAGCTTCTCTAAGCAGGAAAGAGGTATTAAAAAAAAAATTGCCTCACTAGGTGTATAATAGTTAACCATATTCTATTCTTGCAGAACAGCTGAGCTTCAAACACAGATAATAACCATTTCTAATGATTATTCATAATTAGCTGACATTAATCACAAAAAAAAACCTTACCAGAAAGGTAAATAGAAATCACAGTAAAGCAAGAAGCTCAAAATAACATATTATTTCACCCTCAACTACCACATTATAATAAAATTTTAAAAGTATTTAGAGCATCACTGTTCTTATTTGTTGGGCTTTCTTCTGTTGACTTTCTATAACCTGTTCTTCACAGGATGCAGAGAAACTTATAAGTAGAGATTGAGATGGCATACAATTATTTTAGCTGTGTTTATATACTAGACAAAAAATAAATGTATAAAACAAAATATGAAAAAATTATGATTTCTTTTGTAATAAAATCAGTTTTAGCACTTGAATGCTAATGAGTACTAAAGCAAACCACTAAAGTGTAAAAAAAAGAACTGATCTGAGTTTTCAGAATAAGTGGAACAACCCTAACACACAGCACTTCACAAAACATCACGGCGGTAACTTCTTTTTGCCATGAAGCAGTTAACTAGTAGAGCTGTGCAACAACTCCAATATGCCTCTAGGTGGCACATAGCATATTAGTCACATGTGACCAAGGCACTCACACTGATATCTAAAGTACTCCCTTGTATCAGCCTCAATTTCTATACAGTTCATAAGAGGATTTTTTAAAAATCCTGACCACACTTAGCTACTGAAATACACTGAAGAGTTAGGTCAATTCTTTGGGAGTTGCTAACTCATCCTTTCTTAATTTAAAATTTGTTTATTTATAGACATTAAATAGTTACCAAGGGGTGGGTTGTTTTGTACATCTGTAAACCTTTAACTTTCTAGTGTCTGAACAAGTGCTAAATGCTGACACAGAGAATTTCCCTCATGGCAATAAACATTCCAGAAAACAATCTGTCAAGAAAAAGGTCTAGAAAGATTCTCATACTTTTACAAGGGAATACATCTATTTATTAATTTGCATAAATACTTCTAGAGGGAATTCAGTAAGAACTATGAGATGTAAACGTTGACAAGCACTAACACAGTTTGAACAATCACAACATTTGGAAACCCTTCCATGTCAGGCAAAATCTTAGGATGCAAGAATGCTACTGGCCTGAGAATATCAACACTAGCAATGCATTTAAAAGTTGGAAATCTTCAGCATTTTTGTCTTTGCTCTAAAGCTAGATTTAGGGTTTTTTTTCTTGAGTACTACCACAGAGAAAATGCAGATGCTATGGCAGTATTAGAACGCAATTTCCAAGATGTTCTCACATTAATAATCCATGAGATAACTGTAATAATCCAGGACACAGATAGCCACTTAAGACAATTCCAGAAAATGAATGAACCAGAAAGGAGTTCTTAAAACACCTCAGCAAATGCATTTGCCATTCAGATTCTGAGTAGTGAAGTGGTATACATTTCTACCTATATATGAATTTGCCAAGAGTTATTCAACAGCCAGCTCCCTGTGAGGCTACTCCAGATTAAAAATTCATTATTCTTCCATAAGTGAAAGGCCAGGAGATCAATGTATAGCTTCCAGCTGCAACGTAATTTTCAGCAGAGACTATTCAGAACAAAACATCACTCAATATTATGACCTCTACTAAAGAAATGCAAAGTGTAGCTTTTTTCCTTCCCATCAGCCAGAAGCCTGGCAGCTGGTAGGTTACAAATTATTTTCAAAATCTTGCTGTAGATGTGGCGTTTTGCCAGCAAAGCACTTTAGATTTAATTCGGTTTAATCAAACTAGAGGTACCATCTCAACATAAATGCGCTTTAACTTTGCTGTGAAAGCGTTGCTTCTTGTACTTAATGCATTTGAATATAAAATTAACATATTTATTGCTCTCATTTATCTATATAATCTTTAATTAACAAAAAACGCAGAGATGATCAGACTGTTACTCTGTCAGGGCATGTCTTTTTGTACTGAAGTCAGTGCCTCAGAGATGAGAGATCTGCAAATGCTGTTGCTTTGCTTTGTTTTCCTGTGTGGCTGCTAACATGGAAGCAGAATATCAGAAATGTTTGGAAATTACACTCCATTTGCACTAGGAATTCCCTTACTTTTGCATAATCCCCACTCACCCCAAGCTGTTTCCACATGATATTTGCCAGCACTGCTACTACTCACCCACTCTCATGCCCTCTAGCTCCTCAGCAGCCCTCAATAGGATCGGGACACAAGTGCTGGTGGAAGGGCACCACAGAGCAAAAACCTCTCCAGGGACTGTGACAGTCCCTCCAGTTGCCAAGTTTCCCTGCTTCAATATTATTTCATTCAATCACATGCTGTGTTTCATTTGAATGAGAATTTAGAGTGAATTTTCAGAAGCAATACTGACTGGATTCAGCTACTGAACTTCAACAAGATATCTTATTAGAGCTTTATTACTGATTATGATGAAATTACAAAAGGAAGATTTCTGCATAAAACTACAATCTCTCTAAACTGAGAAAATGAGCTGTGATTTTGTATTCTCAAATAAGAAGTGTTTACTATTCTTCTGAAAGGACACACTATGCAGAGATACAATTCAATTAAAAAATCTATTTTTTTCTCTACACAATTTTAGAAATGTCAGTATTCACATAGTTACAGGACTTTGCTCTTTGCCATTTGTACAACTGCATGACAGTGTCAATAATGTGCCAAAAATGAAGATAAAAATAGTAAGAAAAAAAAAAAAAGATTTGAAATGAGCTTTCTTCTGCATGTGCCAATCTAGCCAAAGTTTAATGCCAGCATTTTTAAAGGGCAGAGACAAAACTTTATTTTTTTCCCACAAACCTTCAATTCTGATTTTGGAAAGGGTGGAAGAAGGAATCTTAACAGTACAAATTACAATTGTACAATTGCAATTTGTCAGAGAACAGAAAAAAGGGCAATCATGGATTACAGCATACAATACAGGAAAGCTTTGCAATTTACTGTTGCCAAGACGTCAGCAAAATGATGTTGATGTTGCTTTGTGCTTTTGTCTAATTGCACATGGCAGATCTGTTCACCCATGCTCACTGAAGGAGTAGTGATTGATTTTCTTGTGAGAGACTTAAAGTCACCAGTTTTCCAAATGTGACACATCATCCTTTAAAGCCATCTAGTGCATCTACATATTATATGCAACACACATTAGAATCATTATATTTACAACAAGTAGTATCTAGTGTAGTCTACTTTAAGCATGAGCAAGGTTCTACACCTACCCTTCAAAACATGTCCTTCACAGACCTGCTTGGCTGCTTGATGGCCAAGGTGGTGGCTGGTGATTCACCTGACTGACCAGCACAGCAGCACTGGCCACCAATCAACATATTAAGGACCAAGTTTTGAAGCATTCTATAAATTTACAATGTGAAAAATTAAGAACTTTGGTAAGAACTTCAGTGCAGACCCACTCCGAGGATCAGATAGGATTTCCAGAGTGAGGCTGGCATAGTTTGGTTAGAGCTACACTTGCTGTTGAACTGTTTAACAGTCTCCTTGTCTGCCCTGAAGACTTCGAGTAGTCAACCCACAATGTGCACCATGGAAGAGGTGGTCTGTTGGGCAATCATAGCTCAGGGAGACGTTAGCTACCTGATCAATTACTTTCACAAACTCAAATAACAAGCTAGTCATTCAACATCAACAGCTACTTCTGTGGAACTTTCCAATACATGTAACAATGTTAAGCAGAGAGATGTATATTTCAAAATTTTATTCTGACTTATGGTGAAAATAAGCATCAAATCTAGGCATTTCATAAGGGACAGAAATACTAGATTAAGTATTTATTTTAAAATATTCAGGCTTGGTTTTGTGTTTTAAGTCCTCCAATACCAGTGAAATGACTAAGGTCTGAGGAATGGGTCTTCTTTCAGGCACGCTACTAATGGTATAAGTGACAGTGGGATTAGGCAAAGCCTGAGTACAGAGGAAAGTCATCAGGAACAACTCCATGCATTTAAAATCTAGTATTCCTAACTTTAAACCTTAGAAAAGAGACTAGTAACTAATAGTCAGTGAAATAATCGTTGCGCAAGAGGAACTCCATTCTCTTGCAGGAGGATTATTTCACTGCACATTGCTTCTATGCTGCTAACAACTGTGTGTCCATACAGATCAGACCACATATAGACTAAGGCCAGACCGAAAAAGGATGCAGAAGTTTCAAATTTATTTCTAAGACTACCATTTCTGCTAAGATCAACAATAAGCCCCAAGAGCCAACACAGTGCAGGTGTTTAAAATAAAACAAAAAACATTTTAATATTAGTTTGCCTTACTCTGGGCAGATTCAGAATGTTAGGACTTAAACAATGCCCTGGTAAAGCACACAAATCAAGTTTTATTTATCTGCACGTCCCTTCTTTTCTAGTGAAGTCTCATCACAGCTCTACCTGAAAAAGGAAAATTTGTCCAAGACAAAGAATTCTATGCAAAGTACCTATGAAGGTCTGTGGAAACAGACTAGGACCTAACAGGCACAGAGTGAACTATCATAATCACTCTGAAGAAAATATAAAACACAGGAGGGTCAGATGAACAAGCATTGTTCAACATTATTAAAATGTTTAGGTAAACTGAATATTTCTGCAAACTTAATACATATTTCTTGAAAAAAGATCAGAAAGATGTACTTAATCAAATAAATTTATGAAAGGACCAGTTAAAGATCCTGTGCAAAGGCAAGTAGAAAGTGTAAGCAATTCTTCAACAACCACAGTTCTTCAGAGGTATGCCAGAACATGCAATTAATTCAGCTATAAAATTGTCTTTATTTCTGTATTTCCCTCAAGTCATTTACATGCAAGTTATTTGATGCAATATTGAAACAGAAGGCTATGTTATCACTGCACTCACGGCATTATTTGTACAACCTCAAAACATCATACGATAAAACATGCATTAAAAATAAACTTTTTTTAAAAATGAACAACTCAAAGTAGCCAGTGATTCACTTACAAAATATGTGCTTTTTTGACTGTTTACTATTATTTGAATGTATGCTTCTCCTTTGTAATGCTATTGCCTTGAGCATGAAACATACCAGCTGAATCACATATGAGTACCTTCCTGAAAGAATAAGCTAACAACTTCAGATCAAAATACTGCACAGATAAAAAAAGTTCTATTGAAGATAATTACTAATGCTCCCTCTGCTCCAGATGAAACCTATTTATAACACTCAGAGCACATCTGAAGAAAACTATCACTCTCATTCTTGGGAGAATAATTAAATGTGACTCGTAGAGCAAAATTTAATTATAAAATATCTTGAATGCATGTAGAAGCCTGTTAAAACCTTGTCTAATGTAATTCACACTAACAATAAGCATTACATACTTCATTGTACACAGTAAACACAGGCATTGTGGGTTAAAACAGTCAGAGCAGTACTTTCCAGTCATCATACCAATATAGTAAAGCTCTCTAAAAAGTTGAAATTTTGGCTGTTCATTTTCAGATGCATGAAAAAGCAGCAAAATGAATAAACTGATGAAGAATATGCTCCATAAAGTTCTCACTAAAGATATCCAGTCCTTTGTGAGCAGCACTCAATCAGGCATATGACAGCCCCTGGCTCTGCGGCAACATACCCAGAGGAGAATTTGGCTTGACACTGCAGGACTTGTGTGCTGAAAAAAAACTCTACTTGGCAGTCAACCCTCGTATGGCCGCCCAGACAGCAAGCATGAGACCTCTGTCCCTCCCTCTACTCACTCCTGCCCATCAGCACTGCAGTTCTCAAATGGACCCTGGCTATGAGTGGGTGGGTTATTTCAACTCTGATCTGGTGTACCTAGGCTGCACAGCTGCAGAGGAAAGATTTAGGAAGCAATTCACTGCTGACCAGCATGTAAAAAGACAAAAAGCCAGGAGGATGAATGAAGACTGCCAGCCCTGCTCCCACTGTTGCATGCACATGTTGCTCCTCCCGCCCACAGCAATGCCCAACAAATCCCAACATAGTTTTTTTTTTTAAAAAAAATAAAATCTTTCCTAAAAGGTGTATGAGATGGGTTGTCACGTCCATATCAAATTCAAAGTATTCCCTTTCTAAAACACTAATTCATCACATTCTGCTGTTTCCAGAAACATCAAGGGGAACACATAGTATAGGATGTAATCTCTGTTTTCTACATGGCATCACAGGAAGTCTGACCATTCAGATAATGAAATAGGAAGAAGGAAAGCAGCCCCGTCTGACCTGCTAGGTGTCTGTTTTTGGAAGAGATATGATTAGATATATGACAGTAGGCTTTTCTTATAGGAAAATCTGCACTAATTGCTCATACATCATATAACCAGTTGTGTCTAAACAGCTTCTGGCAACAACTAGCTTATTTTTATAAGACAAATTAACAGGGAGTGTAAGATTCAATCTTCAGTTTTAAGCTTTTTTTAAAATTCCTTTTATTATAGAACTTCCAGTATTTCCAATTTGTTCAAGATCCTTATATACTGCTGTCCTACCTCCCTTCTATGTCTGCTATTTTGCCATATGGTGACCATGTTTTTATGCAGTAAAAGGCGGCAAAGCTTCTTTTACTTTATTTAGGTCTGTCTTGCGTGACTAAAGTTAAGAGAAACATTGCTTTGTAGTTTTAAACCTGACATTTTTCAGACAATTATTCAAAGAAAAATACCTGGACACTCAAGCTTTAATTACCTAACATAAAGCACTTTGCCTTCTAATGACAATTCTGCACCCCTGAGCAAAAGGAAATGCTGAGCTTTTCAGACAGGAAGTTTTCCCATCCATATCTGCCCTGAGGGTACTAGCCCTGAATGATGAATTTGTACCCAGGCCCAAAGGAATAGCATGCCTGGGTTGGAATAAGGAACTATGAAGGACTATCAGGATAGGCGTCATGGTCACCAGGACACAGGCTTCACTGACCAACAATTTGATGTTAACCTGCCATGGGTCTCCCTTGCTGGAAGCTATACAAAGAGAAGAGATGACACAAGGATTTCTCTTGTGAACAGGGAAGGGCTCACAAAATCTAAAATCCTGAGTCATGGAGGGAGGCAGCTGTGGGCAGCATGCACAGGCTCTGTGCCTTTTTCATTCTAACTGAAGGGCATGAAAATACTCTCTCCTCATTGAATAAAACATACTGGCTTATCCTGAAAAGACCATCTTGTGTTGTTACAACACACTTCCCAGTGAGTTTTCTCTCAATGAGGGCTCATCTCCAATAAGAAAGTGTGTTCTTTAGGATTTAGAGGAGCTATAACAACAAAGTAATAAAACCCAACAATTTGTTCTTTGAGGATCAGAGGCCTTGGGCTCCCTCTTAAAAAAGGTAGGAATATAGAACCTTAGTTTGAGGAGTTATGCTCCCAGAGTTACTGTATCTTGTAAGGTCAGAACAACCATCACTGCTAATATACATTTCCCAGACTTATTTAATAAATAAATAAATAAAATCCATCGGTGGAGGTTAACTAAAAAGAAAAATCTGCATTTTTTGCTTTCATCTCTCCAGTATATGTATGTGTACATGCATATGTCTTTCCTGTACAGCCCACAGCATTTTTTCCTATAGCCCATGGTATAAATGCCAAAGAGCACCAAAAAGGCACAATTCACAGACTGACATAGTTTCTGTGTAGACTTCCATAGCAATACACAGTTCCTAGGCAACTGCACTGCTAGACTGAAGTGCTTGGCAATGCTTCCTATGTAACTAGCGTTTATTCTTTGCATTCCTTGCAAATAAAGTTATTTTTTAAGAGATAAATATACAACCAGGCTTGGAAAATCCCATTCGTAAACATGCTGTAGGATTCATGAATGGAAGTGTGCCTGAGAAATCACATGAGCCTTATTCAAGGTGTAATCCATAAGACCTGGGTTCAAAAGAGAGCAAATCCTAATCACATAGGCAAATGAGGAACTACTTTGTATTCAAAGATCCTGTGTATTAATATTTTGCAATAAAAAAATGTGAGCTAGAATCTTTTGTACTTTATGGAGAATGAATTAATCAGATATGACTGAACAAAAAGTATTGTCTAATTCAACAAAGACAACAATCTTCTGTGAAGCAAACCCACATTTACCTCTGATTTTTGTAACTTAAAACTAAATGACATTTAATTTACCTCTATCAAGCAATTTCTTACCTCAGGTCCTGGAGGACCTGATGGTCCATGGGATCCAGGATCTCCAATTTTGCCCTTAAAAAAAAAATCAAAAAATTTATTTTAACAGATTGTTATGAAGATTTAAAAAAACATTTCTCAAAAAGCACGCCAACAAAAGTGTTGAGATTACTTTTCTACTAAATAGGAAGTTTTGTAACTGCTCCTCTTTGGATTCAAATAAGACTAGTTCTTCATATCTCTGAAGTCACAACAAAAAATGCAAATTAGCTTTACACAAATAAAATTTGGATTTTTGGGATGGTCCAAATAGTCATATAAAAAAATCCCTTGAAATATATAGCTGTTTTCATAATAAAAACTACGTATTATTTAAAAGTCCAGGAATTAACTGTTATGGATGTTTACATACATGACTATATAGATTAAGTATTCAATCACAGGCAATTTTGTGATTAATAATAGCAAAATTAGGTCCTATTCACATGTTATAGTGACTCCATTATATACAGATACTGACACACCTAAAACCTGATGAAAATATTTCTCTAAATTATATCTGTTCTTCCACATTTTTAGAAGTTTACTGCTTCTGCTGCTGCCATAACTAGGTGTTCCTTGAGTAAAATTAAAAGCCTGACCTGGAAAACCTTTTTTTAATTTTTAATGTAAATGATTTGATTCTAAATGTATTCCACAAAGTTAAACATTATATTACTTGCAGGACTGAGGTCTCATAATTTAATTTAATATAAGTCAAGAAGCTTGTCACATTCAGTTTGTGCTTAAAACACACAACCGTTCAGGAATGGGCTAATTCACAAGCTTATCTTTAAATGAAAATGCCTGTATCTTTAAAGGCAAAAAGGTTGAGTTTTCCCATCTAAGCTTAAGCAAATTTATGTAAGGTTTTTGCAGGATTAATGTTTATATTATAAACTCTCTGGGACAAAGACAGTATTTTTTTATTGAGTTTAAGAGCCTGTGACATTCATGAGGTCTAAGTTAGTTTATCAGATAGTGCCTTGATTGCACATAAGAAAATTGAGACTGGAGTGATTAATTCTTTAACAGCATTAAGTACTGGCAGTTGTACTTACATACCAAAACCAGGCAGATATTAGTGCTAAAAACAGGTGAGGAAAAAGCCAGGTAACCCTGTGCAATGCCTTTTCTGCCTCAACATTTACAAACCCAGCAGAAGTGGCAGCACTACACAGATGCCTTTAAAGTTGCTAAAAATCAGTAAATACTGAAATTCATGAATACTCCCATTCCTGTGAGAAATGACTGGCCATTATTAATGAGATTTCTCACACTATCTCTAAATCCAGCTAGCCCAAATGGTCATCCTGGCAGCTCCCAAAGCTCTCAGTGGATTTGTTTCAAACATTACCAACATGTCTATTCCCCTAGAAAGTGACTGTCACAGAATACTTAGTATCCTAAGCACTCCCATATTAAAATCTGACACATATACTGATTTCTGTAATAAAATCTCACATGTTAGGATCTGACTCACTAACCAGTCACTAGAAATATAAGCAGGTTAGACCTTATTCTTTGTGCATTTTGAATTAGGTAGCTTCCAGAGGATTACATACAGTGTGAACATAAGACAAAAAGAAGTATCAAATATAACAACATATAGTGACATATTGAGAGCAAAATATGATGTGTAAACTTACTGGGGGTCCTGGCTTTCCTCTGATCCCTGGGGGTCCTGGAAAACCAAGAGCACCCTGAAAAAAGAAAGTTATTAAATACACACAAAAATGTATTGTTGTGTTATGTTGGAAGCAATAGATTGCTGCACTTTGCCACCTGAAACAGGCTTTGAAATAATTCTGCAGGATGAGAAATGTCTTCTAACATTCAACTTACATCAAAAGAGTTCTCACAGGATGTGCTATTTCAGTGACTTCTGATGTACTAGCCAAATAGGAAAGAAGATACTTATTTATCTCAGTTTCATGATCTGAAGGATCATGCCAGACCATGTGCTGCTGCTAACCACAGCTGGTCCAGGTGAGCTGCAGATGAACCTCAGGGATCAAGGGAAAATATCTTTTACAACAGTTTCTTAGCAGGTTTCAGATCATACCATAATTGTTTTCTTGCTTGATGCATCTCTGAACACACAGTAGCCAGAATTCTGCCTGTGCCCTTTACTTGTCTTTCTTCACTACTTTCCATAACTAAGTCTTAATTAATATGTTCATTCAGTGGTATCCAGTAACTTTCAGTACCGCATTCTACTTCTATGCAACTGACTTGTTGCATTTTAAGAGATTCAGAAGCCTGATGGAGTTGCCAAAATTGGACAATTTTGTAAAACAATGCAATTATAAATTACCTTATCTCCTGGGTACCCCTGGTCTCCTGGCTCTCCTGCAAGGCCATGTTCACCCTAAACAACACAATATTTTATACAGATGTCGCTTAAAATGAGGTAGTTATCAGAATTAGAGAATAAGAAAGATGAATACAATATTTAGTATTTAAAATTAACACAGATCTTTGAATGACAATGTAAGATGTTGCACTGAAGCACTCCCTCTAGGAAACACTATAGACACAGCACTGGATATTGTTATGCCCAGTAGTAAGTGCTCTGTCCAGAAGTAAGTTTGTCTAAAGTACCAGATTGTGAGACTGAAGTAATTTTAAAAAATAAGTCAGAAGAGAAAAGAAATCAAAAGGAAAAAGAGAAGGCTTTGTCAAGTATGTTGTTTTGCTCAAGATTTAATGCAAGGAGTCTGAAAGAACTATACATCTCTAAGATAATGGAAATATTTAAATCACCTTATCACCTTTCATTCCAGGCTGTCCCACACTCCCTGGGAGACCCTATTAAAATGAAGAAAACAAAAATCTGATGTTTGTCTATAACTTGAAAAGCAGCATAGGCACTGGCCTGTGGGATCGTTTAGCACCATACCATGGGCCCTGGAATTCCTGGTGGTCCGCTCGGTCCTGCTGGCCCAACGTCTCCCTGTGAGACAGCAAGAAACATGACTGCATTAAATATTTGATAAAATGGAGTAACTTAAAGACTGGTAACAAAATGTGGCATTTTCTGCACCAGAGAGAGAAACCAAAATCTTTTTCAGGCTAATTTCATGGGAAAAAAAAGTATCCGTATTATAAGCCCTCCACCTGTATAGTGGAGTGATGTCCCAACCACATCAGCAGACACAAGAAACCAAACTTCCCTCTTTTCCTGTAGATTATGTTTTGAAGAGAAGATAGCAGTGCATTAGGCAATGCAGAATAAGGAAGCTTTCTTTTGTACTACAGCTGTACATTCAGTGGCTATTCCCTCTGTCCTTAGGGTTACATGACATCACTACTCTGTAAGCACTGAATTTGGCTTAAAGGAATTGTTCTACCATGAGTAGTGCCATAAAAAGTGACTTTTACTAGGATTTCTCATCTCTCAGTTACTTCTACAAGTTTTTTAAAAAAAAGACAGGATTCTCCCAAAATATCAAGTGTGCAAACTTAACCTAAGTTCTGATGAGCATGCTAACTTCTTCTGTTCTCAGGTACCTTCAAAGCTCTTACTACATTTCTCCTTTCTGGGATCTATAGGGACAATTTATGACTTGAAAAAGAAAAGTGAACCAGGAATGAAAAAATTAAGAATCTTAAAAGATCAACACTGCAACAGCAATAATATTAATGAAAGATGGTGAGCTAATTGTAAGAACTGATTTAGCAATAGCTAAAACTGTATTACAGAGAGAAAAGTCTATCTACTTTCTGCTTATTCTACCTCTGTAGAAAAAAAGGGCAGTGTTATGCCCCTGTGGCTATGGAAGAATTTAGCAACAAATATGAACACAGAAATCTTTTGCCACTTGCTGAGAGTGACATGGAAAAGATGAGATGGACACCTACTGATTTCCAGTTCAGCACAAATTCATTATTCGCTAGAGACTCTTTCAGCAATGTCAGCAAAAACATTCTTCCGCAGCCATCAGACTCATGGCTCACTGAAGAAAAAGGAAGACCAATAACTTAGCATCTCAATGGTGCCTGGTAAAGCTCCCAGGAAAATTGCCACTCTATATTGCTTTAGCTTTCCATGAACTGCTTAAATGATATATTCTGTCATGTTAGCTGATGCCAAGATAAATTGTTTACATGCTGTCTCTTACTTGCGCTATATATTCTAGTTCAGCAACACATTTCTGTATTAATGATGCTGTACATTGAAATGTATACTTATGGTAACAATAGCATTGATTGAATAATCACAGAGGGATACTATGCTGGAAAATTTAGCTTGCAAAAGCACTGGGAAGAAGTTCCAAAAGAGCTTTACAAAATTCAGGTTGATGAAACTCCTGTCAGTCTCCAGAGATATTGGCTGACCTAATCAACAGCAAAGAACTGGAAATACACAAAAATAAAACTCAAAAATTATCTTACTGATAAGAAAAGGGTTGAATTACTAAGTCTGTCAGTTTTTTAAATAGTCCTCCACCTACAGCAGCCTTGTTATATGTTAGAAAATACTTATCAGTTTGATTAAAACTTGCTGATAGATAGAAATCAAAAATTACTTCAGCTACATAATGCATACCTTTTCCACCATTTGTATGTGACAAGTGAAACTTGTGAACAAGTGAAACTAAAACCAAATTGCTTTTACCCATCAAAAAGATAAGAGACCAGAAAAGGAAAACTAATGCTTCCCAGCATTAGTTTTTGTGGGTTTTTGGTGTTTGGTTGGTTGGTTGGGGTTTTTTAAGAAAGAAAAATTTAAAAAGAAAAGCTAGCTCTGATAACTGTAGTTGTAATTTTCTGGAAGTGCTCATCTTATTAAAACTCATGGCCTTGCAAGTTTTGAGAGACTGACTGCTCAACCAGCCAAAACTCTGAACTTGGCAACAGCTTTGTATATTGAAAAAATCATGGAAGGAAGGAATTCTTGGATTCAGCTTGCCGATACTGCTCACGTTGCCATTGTTCTCATGAACAAACACAAAAATATAATTAGCTCTTGACACTGCATACAGCTGGGCTGGACAAGCTACTTGAATTAATGCTGTTGGTTTCTGCTAGAATAATATATTTAATCTAATGTTCAATATTGCCTCTTGTAATAGTATAATATATTATATTTGACTAAGTATTTTAGAACAAACATTGAGATTTCTAGTTCTTTATGTAGTTTTGGATGACCACTACCATCTACCTGAATAAGGGCCACGTGAAAACAGAGGCCAGGGTGCACAAACCCATTTGGAGAGCAGGTGTGGTCAAGGACACGGCTGCACCACACAAACTGTACTTGGGGATGCTGGGGTCACCTGAAATTCCCCTGGGCTCTTGGTGGAATCCTGCTACAGCCTAAAGAGCATGATGGTCCCTTGGAAAGAAACCCTGGAACAAAGCATAGGTCTTCCAGTTATCTTACTGACTGCAAAAGTGGGAACTAGAGTAACTAATAAGACATAATGCAGAGACACAGAGGAGTGCACAATAGTAAATTTTACTGAGGATGCCTATACACTATGTTAGTATCCACAAAAGAGTCATGCCACTAGATACTGAGGTCCTCTTTAGCCATGTTCTGACCTTATTTCAAAACCCCAACTAGACTTGCTGATGTTTTGGAAGCTTCCAAAGGGCATTCAGAAGTCTGGAGGAAATGTTGCTGGACCATCTTCCTCAACTGCAAAAATCTTACAGTACCAGTAAGGTCTTATCAATCATGGAGAGTTAACTGCCGTGGCAATGTTAGTGTGTCTCGGCTAAATAAAAGAAGATACCTTTAAAAACACCATAATATACCCGTAAGATATATTAGGCTGTTGGAAGGATGTACAATGACCCTACCTTTATGGAGGCTCATTTCTACATCATAAGCACTTGTCCATACATAATTTTGTTCACACATTTGTCATCCCAAGCACTAAACTCTATTAAGACCAGAACCTCATTTGTAAAATTATTTCTGCCTCCAAAAATGTCATTGTTTTTCAGCATATATACATACACCTCAGCTACAAACACACAGGTGTAGGGATCAAAGGAGTTCTCTGCTCCATAAAAGACCACTAATGCCTTACAGTCAAATAGAGTTGCAGCAGAGGATGTAAAGTTTCCAATGTTCTGGGGGTCAAACACTAATTCCAACAGAAGATGTGACTATCACAGCGCACTCCCTGTAAAAGTCCTGTTCCAAATTGTCACACTGTGAAACAAAAAACTATACACAAGAAGAATTAGCTTAATAATTGTACATAATGAAGAAAGAAATGTCAGTTTCTATGCTTTACTTTCTCATCTTTACTTTGAATACAAATTATGTAGAGCACATGGACACATAATCAATGCTCTTTTACACAGCTGGAACTGTGCAAGAGTCCCACATATAAAAGAGAGATGGCAGGCCACTCAAATGTAGTTCACAGGCAAAACAATTATTGATTTCATGCTGGTCAAAATCTAAATATGCCTTTTTTTTCCTCCCCAAGAAATAGCTCTCATTATGGTTATATTTTGGCTACGTACAAGTGGCAAAGACTTTGAACCGGTGATCGAAAATAATTCCTATATTTCACAAAAAATTATTGACACTCAATCTCTCTGCGTAAGCAACTATAACTCAGCAACACGGTAAATGGAGCTTTGGCCATGCAAACATTTATGCTTACAAATTTTAGGAAGGGCTAAACTTCTGACTAAGTTTTAGTCAAAATAATCAGTAACAGTACGTATTTGCAAGTGATATATGGTAGGCTTTTTTAAAAACCTCAGATACATTTGTACAATTAGCAAAGTCCTTGAGATAAAAATCCAAAGACGGTCCTCTAAGAAAGAAAAGCAAACTATAATTCAAAGCAAATTCTCAAGAGTGTAATCTCTAGTCTCATGAGTGGTTCAATTGGCTCAAATATGTCAGCTGACAAGAACACAATGAGTCATGTTTGCATGACAAAGGCTGGAAGCCACAGAGGTTCCTTGACCAAGCTTGTGTGTCTTCACTATAGCAATGCCACAACAATCCCAATCAGGCAGCAAGGGATGACTTATAGGAGTATTTTTTGTTATGAACATATCATTAAAAAGATAATAATAATGGAACTCAACTGTCATACTTCAAAGGAAAAGTTAGATGACCAATGTAAATTAACAAACTTATCAAGAATGTTTCAGATCTCCAGATAAAAAAAACCAAAACCACAAACAAACACTGGAGACAATAATGGTTTTCTTAATTTAAGTGTAAACTTGTTATTTTCTCCCACATGTTATGAACTATGAACACGGCTGGGTAGCCAACATCAAGAATCAAAACCAGGTCCTCTACCAGTAAACACATAAATTACTGGAAATAAGGGAGTAAGACTACACGGTACAAAAGTATCAGTCCTTCCCACCTCCTGTAGGACTCACTCATGTCAGAGCTTCTCTGGTGCAGCTGTATTTATAAAACTACAGCTTGCAACTCCATAATGAGCATCACCACCTCATTCTAAAAACAAAAAAACGTAAATGTGATACTGTGTACAAGAAAGTAATTTTGCTTAGGAATTAATTCTGCTCAGAATTAGGTAGCCATATACAGGAATGAATGAGAGCTGTGGATGTTAAAATGTCTGAAAGTATTGCACTCTTTCAAAAACTAATGCTGGCTTTAGGAGCATAAGCTAGCGAACTTGGTTATTTCAAATAAAATCCCAGACACACCAGATCAGAAATAAGCATACAAATCCAAACCAAGTATAGAAGTACACCATACCAGCAATATGACAGCAGTTTTGTAGAGTGATTTTAATTAAAATCATGGCTAACTAAAACAAAATCTGTTTAAATCCCTGGACTCTTATATTTGGTTTTATAATTTCACAAATGTACAAGACAAATATTCTAATGAAGCCATACCAAAGTAAGTAATAAAAGTGTACTCACTCTTAGTCCTGGAAATCCAGGAGGACCAACACCACCAACAATTCCCTTCAAAGAAAATGAATTTTAAATTATCCGTATTTTACCATTCTAAAAAATTCCCAGTAATAAGATAAACGAAAGTGATCCACAAAGCAAGTCAGTTAGGATTTTTATAGAGAGTTCCTGAAGAATGACAGCTTATCACTGTATAGGGGAACATGCTTATTAAAATCCCTGATTGTGGAATTAGATCTCAAGATACCTGAATCATGAAATCATTCCTGCATTACCAAGGGAGTATGAGATTTGTTACCATGATATTTAAAGTGGGAAGAAGAAAAAATAATTTTTTGGAAGTGGAAAAAAACCACTACAAGAATTTAAGATTCCTTTGAAAGATAAATCAAACACCAGCTTAGTTCTTAGAAAGACCTTTGCAAACTGAAGGCTATGCTCTATGAAAAATTATTTCTTGATACAAACTACAGTATTTGTGCTTTACGTAGAAGTAACAAATTCAACCATACTCTGTTGCATTCAAGTTTAACTCAGCAGAGGCTAAAACACCATGGCAAACAGTTGGCAAGTCTCTTTGTCCTCTGTGAAAGGGGTATTGTAGCCCTCCAGGTCAGCATGCTTCACACAGACTGTCCTAACACCTGGCACCTGCTACTCAGTGGATATCATACATACAGTTCACTGCAGCCCATCGGCACCCAGAGTGAAGAGGAATTTTTATGCAAGCAAATCTGAGCCCATTCTGAAGCTGTCCAACAGGGCAAGCCTGCTGGGCATGGCACAGAGGACTTGTGCTCTCCTCCCTCCTCTGGTGCCTACACACCTTCTCCAACCTGCTCCAAACTAACCACAGGGGAAGCTGAATGCTCTAGCAACATTCTCCAAGGCAGATTGACATCCTCAGAGAACTGAGTGTTGTGGAAATGAAGGATGGTATTACTCTGTTAGGCAGAAGAAATTAGGCATGGAGACAAATGTCATTAGTGTCAAGTCAGCACATGGGAAGAAATGTCTTCTCTTCAAGTTCCTGCCACCACAGGCCTCCCAGCCAGCCCCTGCTCTTCACTGCCAGCTCACAAACAGGCTCTGTAAATATCCCATTAGCATCGCAGCCCCCTGCAGCTGCAGCTTTGGCCCCGTGCCTGAACAAGCCCTGCAGGACAAGTTTGGGGGGAGGCATGGAGGGGGCCTGCTGCCTGTCTGAGAAGGCAGTAAGATCAGCAGCTGTCTTGGTAGATTAGAAGGAACTTGTTTGCAAATGCTTGTGTTAAAACAGGCTTCTTTGTAAAGTGCAAGTCTGTAATTTCAGATCCAGGCCTTCTGAGCTTGTTTCTATTAAAGTACTGTTCTGAAGATCTTGTGGAAAGACAATATCTGCTTTATCAGGAATGGAGGGAGACTTGGAAGTTCCAGGAGGGGAAGGAAGAACTAAACTTTTTATATCATTTGCAACATTTGGGGGACATCCACAACCGCTCAGAGGACTTTCAAGATGAAAAGCACCATACTGACATCACCTGACATTCCCACAACGGGAACTTTGCCTCAGGGACCAGAAATGCAAAATATTTTTTTTCCTATGTTCCAAAATGCTGACACCAAACGTCAATAACCCACTAGCAAAATTCATGTAAGTTTTTCTAAAATAAGTTTCTAAGATGTGTGTCAGGGAAGGGCAGGCCTTCAAAAAGGAGACCATCTCTGCCCAGTTGCTGACTCTGGTCCATATCAGAAAAACCTTTAGACACAAACTGATAGCGGTTTCCAAAGGAGTATCCAACAATAAAACCAGATTCAAATCAGCTGCTCTTTTGCCAGCACTTATTGCTGTTCACTTGTCTGGCCCAAAGCCCTTTCACTGTTTCTCATATCAAAGGAAACCTGAGTTTGGAGTCTGTAGCCAGAGTTTCCCTAC